CCATCCGAGTCTGATCGACAGCACAACATTTGGGGTGAAGGTACAGGCAGAGTTTATAAGGATTGAAAAAATTTCTTCAAAGGCGCAATACTAATTGAAAGTTTCTGTAAGCTCCGTGCGGAATGAAAAAACTTAGGTGTATCTCGCTACTCTAATACTTATTGTAAACACGACGGGGAAAATGTGTAGATAATCGGAAAAGGTTCTCGATGATCCGAGTTCCATTGTGATACTCTGCGCTTGCACGGTCTGCGCACGCGTGCAGCGTTCATAATTCACGACGTCCGCACGCGTGAGCAGACCGCACGAAATTTAGGTCCTTTAGAACGAGAAGAAACTAAAATTCTGAAATGCACCTTCACCTCTTTGAAAAACTGGCCCGGATATTGTCGATGGCGAAACCAACCACTTAGCCAACGGGAGCGTGTGTGTCAGTTTAAAGTCCAACGCCGTCGCCGGCTTGGTCAGACTTGATGCCGATATGCTAGCCATTTGATGAGCTCCTTGTTGCGTTCTTCAGTCAGCCCGAAACGCTGCCACAACGAACAGCAGGAGCAGACCAGACCATCTCATTCCCTCCTAGCAGGATCCACTCTTCACCGCGGGGCTGTGCCAACCGACCGAAACACTAGCACTGCCGCGGCGGACCACAAGTTTCATTTCCAGGACTCGAGAATTCAATGACCTAGCTGGTCCTCACTGCTCACACGTGCAGTCCTTCCTCGGCCCCTGACTCAGTAGTTAAGTGTCAGTAGTTGTCGTTCGCCATGGTCTTAGCCACGTATGCCATCCTTAGTCTTCTACAGAAGTTCGCGACGGCTGCGCATCGGCTCAGACTTATTGTCATCTGCCCTAAAGTACCACCAGCGTCCATGAATGAAGGACGTCGATGAGACCGATCTGGTCGAAGGCATTTTAGTAGGATATGCATGTCATCCCTCTCGGCACAATAAGTGCATTCTCTGTCTATGCTTGTCCTGTTCTCCTTTCAAGAAATGTAGGTGTAGCCTCTCAAAATCTCAGTGCCCTGATAGCACTTGTAGAAAAAATCCACAGTTATCTGCGAGTACAACCTCCTGTACAATCTTCCGCTGACGTTCGCTGGCCGAAGGCTGACCGAAGCGATGCCGAAAAATGTTCTACCATTCGCATGACTACTTCCACGGCTCGTTCGAGTTTGCGGCAGAGTCTCCTGGATTGGCGGCATGATCTACAGCCTGGGATGCGCTCCATCAATGTTGCCAACGGGAGTAACCAACCATTCCCCCCGGCATCGATGAGCCATCGATGCCAGGGGAGACATATGAGAGAAGGCTGCGTCCCTGATGACTACGTCGTGATTGTTGTGTGCTCGATCAGTTGGTTCTTCACACTCCGACATCCACCTCACTTCGCGATCCATCAATCAGAATCGTTTTCATGATCTCGAGTCGAGATTCTCGACCGATCGCGTCGATGATTAGTTCATCTTCCAACATGATTAGTTCTGGAGCGTCACGCCCTGGGCGAGTCACGAGTACGAGCGAATGGAGCTGAGGGTGGCGTGATGGT